TTGGCATGCACCACTTTTGGCTTACCTCGCCGACCACATTTTATCCGGAAAGTCACGTCTGAGAGTTAAGAAGTTTCTTGGGACTTTGTACATATTACCGGAAGTTTGTGGAGGACTTTGCAACTATATCTACCTGATTTGACAAACAAAGTCCATAAGTTCGAATGGACAGTTTCTTGCCAGCATGCTTTCAGGACATTAAAATAAAAATTGCCCTCAGCTCCACTTTTAAAGCTTCCAGATCCCCCACTGCCGTACATACTGGATTGTAATGTCGGAATTGGAGGGGTGTTGTCTCAGAAAGTGGGCGAAAACGAACATGTGGTGGCCTACTTCAGTAGGGTTTTAAGTAGACCAGAGAGGAACTACTGTGTAACACGGAGGGAACTCCTTGCTATAGTAAAGGGTCTGACAGATTTCCATCCTTACCTCTATGATGCAAGGTTTACCATCAGGACAGACCATGCTGCGTTATGCTGGTTAAGATCATTGAAGAACCCAGAGGGACAACTGGCACGTTGGATTGGAAAGATAGACCAGTATAATTATGATATTGAATATAGAGAGAGTAATCTCATGGTAATGCCCGATGGACTGAGCAAAAGACCCTGCAAAAGTGACTGCAGACATTGCTGCAAAAGAGAGGTTGAACTAACCAGGTGCCACCAAGCTGAAGTCAAGGTGACTGAAAGAGTTGATGATGGTGAAGTGGAACCAAATATAGATATCAAAGCAGAACAGGAGAAAGACGAAGATTTGAATCCAAGCAAGTGTTTTGCGCCCTGCTTGGGAGAAGGTGTCTAGTCTAAGCCCTGTGACAAATAAGTATTGGTCACAATGGGACCAGTTGAAGCTTGAATATGGTATTCTTCTCAGAAGATGGGAAACTGCAGATGGGAAAATGATGACCTGGCAAACGGTTATACCGAGAAAGTTATGGGAAGTTGTGCTGCGTCAGTCCCATGATACTTTAACAGGAGAACATCTCGGAATTAAGAAGACATTGAGTCACCTACTACAAAGATTTTACTGGCTAGGTGTGAGGCAAGATGTGGAAGAATGGTGCAGGACATGTTGTGCTAAAAGGGGACCCAAACATAAGGGACGTGCTCCAATGAAGTTATATCAAGTTGGTGCACCAATGGAAAGAGTAGCCGTCGACATTGCTGATCCTCTGCCACTAAACTCGTGCTGGAAACAAGTGCATTTGTTTGGTGATGGATTATTTCACCAAGTGGCATATGCAATACCAAATCAGGAAGCTACAACTGTAGCTTCGGCTATTAGTGACTTCTTCTTCTTCAGATTTGGTATGCCATATGAACTGCATTCAGATCAAGGCCGTAACCTTGAATCAGCTGTGTTCCAAGAATGCTGCAAGTTGTTTGGCCTCCGAAAGACCAGGACAACGCCACTTCACCCACAGTCTGATGGGATGGTAGAAAAGTAAAATTGGACACTTAGACAGGAATTGGCAAAGTTTTGTAATATCTGTCAAGATGACTGGGATGTCTTACTCCCTCCACTGTTGATGGCCTATAGGACAGCAGAGCATGAAACCGCTGGATACGCTCCGGCAAAGTT